AGGAATGGTGTGGGCTTTGAAACCTCAAAACCTGCCCCCAGTGTCACACCTCTTACTGCAAGGTGCCCACGAAAAGAGAAGAAAAAAAAAACTTATATAAAGGTTAAGTACCTTTATTTTTGTTCTTGTTTTTAAAAAGGACTTCATGTAGCCCAGGGTAGCCTTAAACTTACTCTGTAGCCAAAAATGACCTTAAATTGCTGATCATTCTGAGTGTCTGTATCTCCCATGTGCTTGGGTTGCAGCTGCAGTACTTGGCTTCAGTAGGAAATATCTTCCTTACAGGCCTCAGTTTGTTCCTATTAATAACATTGCAAATATAATATCCAGTGTAGAGTCAGTTAACCAGGCCCATAAAGAAACAGGTCAACATAAACAGTTATCCACAGAAACAAATGTACTATAAACTGACATGTAGAGGTACTTATTGTAAATTATGATGTGCAGACTTTAAAATAACAGATTGCCAATTCTGAGATGTCCAAAGGAGAAAATTAAAAATTAGGCAGAGAAGTGAAAATAATGCAAAAGCTTGTATTTTTAAAAATATAAGTTCTGACTCTGAAATAATACAATAACCAAAACTAAGAATTTCAGTGCACAGATCTAGTAGTACTCAGAGTTAGAGAATTAGAAATCTACAAGATAGGCAGTGGGACGTATTCTGGATGAAGCTTATAGTGATAGAATGGATGACAAGAGAAAGTGTTGGAATAAGATAATGAGAAGTTCTCAGACCCATTGGACTGAAGCCACCCAAGGAGAGGGAAAAGTGGGCCAGCAGCAGTATTGGAAGAGATTATAACTGAAATTTCCTAAACTGATGAATAATACCAGGCCACAGATGAACTTAGATATTCATGTACGCTGTCTAAGTCTTCTCCCTAATTACACCTAATTACATTACCTGGAACAAGGAAAGAAAGGAGTAGGACCTCTAATAAAGAATAGTCATATTTTTAGTTGTATTTTTGCATATATGTATGTTTTACAAACCTGGAATCGTTACATATATGGCTATGAATTTTCCTCTCTTGAGATGTCCTGAATGCTTCATATATCATTAAAATTTCATAAGATTTTGAATGTGATATTTGAATGTACTGTTATACTTTATTTGTGTGTATGTACATGTGTGTGCTTGTTCATATTTGTAGGTACATGTGGATGTTGTAGGTACATGTGCATTTGGAGGCCAGAGGATGTTCTGGATGTCGCCTTCAGTAATGCTATCCACTACCTGTGAAACAGGGTCTCCCATTGACCTGAAGCTCACGTGTTAGGCTAAGCTAGTTACCATTGAGCCCCAGTGATTCCCGTCTCCTTTTCCCCATCACTGGGATTAAAATTGCATACTACCAAGACGAGCTTTTTACGTTGATGCCTGTATCAAACTGAGATCCTCATGCTTGGGAAGAAAGCATTTTACTAACTAAGCCATCTCTCTAGCCCCGTGTTATATTTTTTATTTAACCAATTTTCTGTAGAATATGCAGTTTACTTAACATTTTAGTTAATATTATCAACATTATTTTAGTAAGTATCCTTATAACTAAATCTTTGGCATGTTTGTTTTTGTTTTGTTTTATTGAGACAAGAATTGCATGTATTCCAAACTGGTCCTGAGTGAGACCAGCTATGTCACTGAGGATACATAACTAAGACTTCACATGCATCCCTGACTAATTATACTTCCCTTTGGGGATAAATTTCTAGAAATAGAACGACTGAATTGTGGTGGTTTGAATGTAGTTGGGCCCCATAAACTCATAGGAAGTGATACTATTAGGAGGTGTGGCTTTGTTGGAGGAAGTGTGTAATGAGGAGGTGAGATTTAAGTTTTCCTATGCTCAAGCTATGCCTAGTTCAGCTCAATTCCTGTTGCCTGTGGATCAAGTTGTAGCTCCTTCTCCATTCTCAGCTCTTTCTCCATCAGCATATCTGCCTGCATGCTATATCCCACCACGATAATAATGAACTAAACCTCTGAAGCTGTAAGCCACCCAATCAAATGTTTTTCTTTAGAAGAGTTGCCATGGTCATGGTATCTCTTCACAGCAACAGCAACAGAAACCCTAGCTAAGATATGGATCAAGAATATTTAATATTTGAGCTAATCTTTAATATTAATGATAAATATTCTTTATTCCAAATTCTTGGGATAATCAATATTTCATATTTCAGATTTTTAAGTTTGGAATTTTATAATCCCTTTGTGCAAGTTGTATCTTTCAATAGCATCTGGAGTAATTTACTTTATCTCACATTCTTTTACTTTCTGCATGACTTGGACACTCCTTAGTTAAAAGTTGAGGTCTGTGTTCCCCCTCCTAGAACCTAGGTGAGTCTTTGTCATGAGTCTGTCATAGCCTCAAGAAATAACAGGAACAGTGGAAACAAAGCTGCTTGATTTCCAGGTCTAGACAGGAAAGGTAGGACAACTGCTACCTGGCTGGCTTTTAGGACACTTGTCCTAGTACCCAGGCTTGTGAGGAAGCCTAGGCTACAAGGAGTGCCTGCTGCAGATGTCCCCTGTGACAGCCTGCGGAGTCCCAGCCAGCATAGCATCACTGCCAGACACTTGGCAAGCAAGCCTGGAGGTGATTCCAGCAGCCAGATCTTCGAGTCTTTCAACAGAAGCCTCAGCTTCTGCCCAGACGAGCTGTGAAGGACAATAAATGATTGTTGATTTGGGCCTTTCGGTTGGAGTCAGTTATTACCCAGCCATCGTAAATTCACTCTCCCTCCCCAGCACTGCTCTTAAAATCTCTTAAAATTCAATCAAGAAACCATTTTCATCTTCAGATGGAAATGGTATCTTGATTTAATTGCATTTCCTGAGTTACTGTGAAGAGCCAGTCTAGTAGGTAGACAGTGGTGTGCTGAGTGTGGTTATCACTTCAAACTCAGGAAATCCAATACTGAAATTGTTATGTTTGTACTCCTGGCTTGTTCCATACCCCCCTCCTTCCCCTCCTCCTTCCCTCCTCCTTTCCTCCTTCTTCTCCTCCAACAATTCAGTTCACTTATCAGATTAGATATTACTTCCTTCAGTTCTCTCTCCTCAGTTTACCCTAGCTTAATAACAGGCCATATAATATGGCTACATCACCCAGGACCTGTACATAGTCTCTGTGGAAACTGCCCTTTTACTTACCTTTCTATTGCACTGCTTGTTAAACTTTGTAAAGTCCTCAAACTACCAATAATCTTTTCTATCTGTGGCATATAGTATGTGCTTGATAAATAAGTATTAATTATTTGGTTAGTTTTACTTATTTTACTATTTTATGTGTGTGGGTGTTTTACCTACATAAATGCCTGGTGTCCAAGAAGGCCAGAAGAGGACATCAGATGCCCTGGAACTGGAGTTGCAAATGGTTGTGAGCTGTCATGTGGATGCTGGGAATTGAACCTGGGTCTTCTGCAAGAGCAACCAGTACTCTTAACCGCTGTATCATCTCTCTAGCCCTATTCTTGTTTTTTACACTGGTAGGGACCCAACCTGGGACTTGTGCACTAAGCAAGCACCCTGCCAGTGAGCTACTTAGGCCCAGGAAGGCTTAAGTTTTAAAGCACAATAATTGACATTTTTAACTTTGCACGTTAATCTTTCCCTACTCAACATTATACCTAAGTGATAACAAAAGTTGTATTTCAGAACTTAATTTCTAGTCTTGGTTTGGTTAACATTTTCATTTCCTCGATTTATTTCTCCTATTAACTTTTTCAAATAAATTTTGTTTCATATAATGAATATAGCCATCTAACTTTTTATCTAAGCCAATTTAATAATGCTAATTTGGGTGAATTTTTTAAAAGATGGGTAAATTATATTTAGAATTATACATGGATTCTTTACATAGGGAAATGCTCCTTAAACATGATTATAATTTGAAGCTAATAAGAAGTCATCTGACTGGGTCCCTGCTCTGCTCCAGGACTCTGGAAATGGATCTCCATGCTGGCTGACCCTCAGAAGTAAATGTCAGCCATGTTCACCCTTCAGGTTTTCAGATGGAGGTTTTCTATTTCAACTTCTGTTCAGATGTGAATTTAAAAATTCTTTATTGGTTTATTAATCTGGTATTTGTTGTTCAGGCACAAATCTCTGACTAATATTTAAGAATAGCATTTAAAGTTTTGTAACTTTAGACGTACTGAATTATGGAAGAAATTTGTGTATGGGCTCCCTTTAATGAGTAGCGATAGCAGGATTTGGGGTTGTTAATTTTGATACTATATTATTTAATATCTATTTTTCTCATCTTCTGAATGATGCAGTGCATGGTTAAGGTTGTTCCCAAGCTGTTAGGTCTATTACTAGAATATTCTTTAATAGATTCAAGCTGTATAGGAATTATAAAATAGGCAATATATTAATTACTTTCCTCATTTCTGTGATCAAATACCTGACAAGTAGCAACTTAAGGAACTTTTATTTTAGCTTACAGTTTGAGGGGACCCTTCATCATGGCAGAGAAGGCATGGAGGCAGGAGAAGGAAGTGTCCGTATTGCATCCACAGTCAGGAAGCAGAGGTATCCTGACAGAGATGTTCCTTGACATTTTATTCATAGCTCTTAAATTTAAGATTATAAACTGGAAAGTAGTGGCACACACCTTTAATCCCAGCACTCGGAAGGCAGAGACAGGAGGATCTCTGTGAGTTCAAGGTCAGCCTGGTCTCCAGAGCGAGTTTCAGGACAGCTAGGGCTACACGGAGAGACCCTGTCTCAAAAAAATCAAAAAAGAAAAGAAAAATTAAGATTATAGAAAAGTAGGCATATGTAAATCACCATTAGTAGGGCCTGACTCTTCTGGGAATTCAGTTATTGGAAGAATTTTTAATAAATAATGTATACCATTTAAAAATATGTAAATATATATGTTAGTATAGTTAATAAGAGTCTACATTTTGGGCCCTCAGACAGGCTTAGTATTAGCATATTATGTTCCTAATTAGGTCTGCTTTTCTTTTCTTTTTTCTTTTTTAAACAGAATCCCAAAACGAAAGAGCAGATTGAAAACCTCTTGCGGAATGGGATGAACAAGGAACTGCGTGACCGTCTTTGTTGCCGGATGACTTTTGGGACAGCAGGACTTCGATCTGCCATGGGGGCAGGGTTTTGCTACATTAATGACCTTACAGTAATACAGTCAACACAGGCAAGTATTATAGACTCATATATGTACTTTTCTCACTCTGTTATTTTACTTTATAAATAAGGCAGTACCCTTCTTTTAAAAATAAACTATTTTGTTCAGAAAGGTCCTCTTTTAAACAAAAAGGGCAGACCAATTTTGATCTTTTGTTTTGCCCAGGAGTTATATTGGAAATCATTTATGTATCTACAATAGCAATTTTCAGCCTGTGGTTCATTGACCCCTTTGGGGGTCAAACAACTCTTTCACAGGGGTCACTTGTCAGATATCCTGCATATCAGATATTTATAGTACAGTTCATAACAGTAGCAAAATTACAGTTATGAAGTAGCAATGAAAATAATTTTATGGCTGGGGGGTTATTCTGGGGGTTGCAGCATTAGGAAGGTTGAGAACCACTGATCTACAAGGTCACAGTCTTTTGTCTGGGTGTGGTGCACACCTTTAGTTCCAGCACTCAGGGGAGGGGGATACTGGAGCTGATGGAACTGTCTGGGTTTGAGGCCAACCTGGTCTATATAGCAAGTTCCAGGCCAGCCAGGACTACAAAGTGAGACGATAAAAATTCTGTCCTCTGGAGCCTTGAAATAAGAAGCAGTCTCCCTGACTCGGAATGTTCTCTCTGGCACACCCCACTTCCCACACTGACCCTCTTTTCCTGCCTTTTCCCTCTCCCTCATGTCTTATGTATCGAGTTGTGGTTACTAAGTTGGTATTTCTGTAGTACTAAATGTGTTTGAAAATCTGAGAAATGATTGTCATCTCACATTTGTGGATTGAGCAGTATTGTACCCACATTAGTAAGCATGGCTATAAGTACCAAAGTCAGTTCTGATCTGATCTATTAGCAGCACACTAAATGTAAAACAGGAGACTTTAAAGTTGTAAAATGCAGACATGGAGGCTGGGATGCAGCTCAGTGGTAATGCACTTGCCTGTTTGAACCCTCAGTTCATCCTCAGCATGAAAAGGGGGTGTGGGGTAGGCAGGGTGGGGAACACTTACAGTGGAACTTTGTAAGAGGAGTTCATCTTCTGTTTATTTGCTGCAGGGCATGTACAAATACCTGGAGAGGTGTTTTTCAGACTTCAAGCAGCGAGGCTTTGTTGTTGGGTATGACACTCGGGGTCAAGTAACCAGCAGCTGCAGCAGCCAGAGGTACAGTGTTAATTATTGCAAAGGTTGCATTGGAATAAGCGTAAAATACTTAATTTTTTTTTCTAGTGGCGAGAGTTCTGAAATGAGAGACGTTCATGTAGAAACGTGATCTCGCGCTAACGCTTGTTGTATGTTTCTGAACCCTGAAAACAATTTTAGCTGAAATAGAAGTAAAAAAAAACACTTCAAGGATAAGCTTTAGATTTTATAGAAGTGTAAAAATAACCTTAAAATATTGCAAAATCACAGAATGTCAGTTTATACATTTTTTGATAGGTATTGAGTAGGAGTAATTATGAAACTTCTGTTCTCTTATAATCCTGCCTTAGTATCTTTTAATAAATTGATAGTCTTGGTATTTCTTTAAGGAGGATAATTGTACATATGGAGTTTATTTGCTTCACTGTCCTCCAGTCTTTTCAGGGTTTTTTATTTTTATGTATGTATGTCTGGGGATGAAGCTAGGGCCTTGTATACACTAAGCCAGTGTGCTACCACTAAGCAGCATCCCTAGCTTCTTAAGAAAACAGACAAACCTTTCTTAACAGTTGGAGCATTAAGCTTAAATAATCAGTGATGGTAAGAATAGGTTGGATGGTTGTGGTGGCGCATAAGGGAGACTGAGGCAGGGGTGTGAGTTTGAGGTGAGCCTAGGTAACAGTTCCAACCAGCTTTGGGATCTTCTTTCAAAACTCAGAATAATTCCATTATGAAACATTTGTTATGTGAAAGGTTGGTTTATTAAAATTATGGGAAAGACTAAGTGAAATTTGTTTGTTTTAGGCTTGCTAAACTCACTGCTGCTGTGTTGCTTGCTAAAGATGTTCCTGTTTACCTTTTTTCGAGATATGTTCCTACACCTTTCGTAGTAAGTATGTTGTGATAGTGATTACTCAGCTGGCTGCCCTCCTGGGTTTTTTTTTTTAAAGACAATTAGGAGTCAAATCTTTGCCGTACATATGGTTCTAAGTATTGAATGTCCAATCCAATGAAAGTCCAGCCAAAGGAAGGAAGATGGTTTTTCCTTTGAGCTTGATCTATTCAAACTGATCATGATGAGATGTTTTTAAGCCAGAAATTGATTTATCAGGACAAAAATGACAGAGAGATTTGAACACACTACTAATAGATTGAGGTGGGTTTTGTGTGCATTTCTGTGTGAGAGCTGAAAAACAGACAGTGACCGGTCACCAACAGACTTGTCATCGACAGACTTTGAAAGACTGATGTGATTGGTCACTGATCTGATGGGTTATTATATACATAGTGATTTGGACTAAAGATCCACGAACTGCATTACATATAGTGCAGTTAATAGATGATGTCCTAGTTAGTATGTTACAGTTATAACTGATGTTCCACACGGTCTCAAATTTGAACATGTTAGGAGACGGTGCTATTGACAGAAATGTGGTCGTGGAAATGTGGGCATATTGACAGCGCAAAGCAAAGAACCTGAGCAGAAACAAGAACAAGAACAATCGGCCGCGTTGCCATTGTTTGAACTGGCACGGATTCTGCAGAAGTCAAAATAAACTGCCTCAGTTTTGTAACTGAGAGTCTCTTGAATTTGCTGGCCTGGAGGAAGGTCTGGTTTCTCACATCAAAGATAAGGAGTTAACATACACACACAAATTAGCTGAAAAGGGGGCAGTTTATTAGGCAAAGATGGACTTTCAATAAACAATAAAACTTAGGAGGTAGAATTAAGCCCTACTTTTAGGGAAGAAAATTTGTAAGTTTAATGAATGCATTAGCAAAAAAAAAAAAGATGTTAAGATACTGAGCTTACGCTATCATAATATATTTTATATTTGTGCTAAAGTAGAGTAAAAAGAATGAAATCCTAAAAGTATGAAAAAGAAATAAGTATATAAACTTAAAATAGTAACAAGACAAAACTGGCCTGGAGAGATGACTCCAGATGCCAAGCTTGACAACGTGAGGTCAGTCCCTGGGGCCCACATGTTAGAAGTAGAAAGCCAAGACCTGCAAGTTGTCCTCTGTCCTCACGCATAGGCCATGGTATGAATGCCCCACCACCAAATAAATAAATAAATGTAATTAAAATTTTTTTAAGAAAACTGTGGAATTAATGCTAAAGATACAAGACACAGTGTAGTGGCATTTCACTTGTATTTTAATAAATAAAGCTTCCCCGAAGATCAGAAAAGCAAAACAGCCAGCCACTGACTCTTACCTCTACCTCAGTCCAAAATGGCGATTCTGCCTCCAGAAATCTCAGAATGAGACTGAGACTGAGAGCTGTTTCTCCCATTTTATCATCCTATCTAGTTCTTGGATTAAGGGCGTGTACCACTAAGGGGTTTCTGTGGCAAGCTAGTGTGGCTCCTGGGATTAAAGGTGTGTGTCGCTGCTGCCTGGTTTGTAAGGCTGACCAGTGTGACTGTTTTACTTTTTTGATCTTCAGGCATGCTTTATTTATTAAAATACAAATGAAATGCCACTATAACACAAACAAAATGAGTGTGTAATAAATACAGTAGAAACGAAGATAATCAGTATTATTTAACTATGTAATTTAAGCAAATGTGCAAATTTTGATTAATTAGCCAATTTCTTGGAATAACAGTTGATACATCAACTTACAAGAAATAGTAAACCTGAATAACTATAATTATCCAATAAATTGAAATGGTATTTTTTTAAGCATTCTCAAATTTAAAATAGCAAGTCTAGATGGTTTTATATGTAAGCTTTATCAAATCATAAGGAATGAATATCTATAGATTATTCTGTTGAGTTTTTGGAAATTTATTGAGCAACTCAAAGAATTGAAGAAATTGATTTTTACTCTAAAGTATATCAATAAAGTTAGCACCAATGAATAAAAGAAACTAGAAAGGAGCTAGAGCTGTAGCTCGGTGGTAGATATTTGTCTCACACGCATCTGTATGTTCAACTTCAGTAGCAGGGAGTTCAGAAATCTAAGACTGCGCCGTCCAGTTGCCAGTTCACACTCACAGCAGTCCCAGTGAGTTGGCTTTCCTGTCTTACCGCAGGTAGATGTGTGGTAGTTGATGATAACAGTGTTTTTAGCAATCTCAGGTAGTTGATGAGGATGGTGTTTTTTAGCAATCTCAGAGTCACACCCTTTAGTCACCATGGCTCCAAATCAAAGTTGTCTTCCTTGACTAAGTGTAGCGAGAATATCTACAGGTGTGAGCTTAAACAGTTTCTGGAATCGTGTCAAGGAACTAGACTAGTGTGAACAGACCTGAAACGTCTGTGCACACCCTTCCCCTCCCCTCTCACCCCTACCTTCTCTGGTCATGGAGAGCAGTCAGTATGACAGTGGAAGTTGTAGGGAAGCATCTGAGGAAGAGAAACAATAGTTACTATGGAGAGAAGGAGAAACCCAACCTGGGAGAGAGAAGGATGAGTTGACATGTGACATGGAGGCACAGAGTGTATGTGAGGATCTTCAAATTAAAAGGCAAAAGACTTGTGTTAGGCTTTTGAATCTTCTACCTAATGACTATGTGATGTCAGATAAAACTCAGTTAAATGTGATGGATAGATAGTTCCTAAATTTATTTCCATCTACAACTATTTATTTATTGTATTTTCCTTTCATATCTCCATTCCAATAAAGTGTCTGTCATATAGTATTTACTAAATACTATTGTATAACAAAAGAATAGGAAATTGTTATACCATAAGCAAAATGAGATTGGTAGGAAAGACCATTCAAGGTGATAACTGGGTGGTTGTTGAGCTGCATGTATTAGAAATGGACCTTACCCATCAAACCTGGAGCTGATAAGACCTTAAATTATTGATACCTAAGTATCCTCCTGCATCATTTAACCAAGTAACGTTCATGTAAAATGTATGACTATCTAGCAAGTAAAGTGGAATAATGCTGCTCTGGTACATTTTTTATTTTTCCAGCCATATGCAGTCCAGGAGCTCAAAGCGGTTGCAGGTGTGATGATTACGGCATCTCACAACCGCAAAGAGGACAATGGATACAAGGTAAGCCTTGAACGCCTAATCTTTACCTATTCTGTAAGTTTTATGTTATTTAAATAATATGTGCTTGGTATGTTTTCAACACTGAGGAACAAAACCAGGCATTGGAAACAGATTAAAAAAAAAAAAAAGAACTCTGACTCTCCCAGAATGGATGCCTCTAGTGGTGTTTATTGGTTCCCAGAGTGTGCATGTTACAATGGGCTCTTCATTGGGGTTTTGCTTCTGTTTTCTTTGATTTCTCCATCCTTTCCCAATATATCCCCTCTATAGTTTCAGAAATCAAGTCATGTTGTGTATCAAGAATATGAAGAATGAATGGTGAGAGTCAGGGAAATAGTACCTTGACCTCACTGTCCCCTCCCTCTGATCTGCCCGGGCTTCTCAGTGGCCACAGGGTCCATTTGCTGTCTTAGCCCCTCTGACAGTACAGTGGCAGAGGTGAATAGCACTTGAGAGGTGCACACGGAAGATACATAGCCCAGTACTGAGCCGTGTTTCAGGCTTCTTGTAGATGAACCCATGTTCTAGCATTTTTCTTTTTGTTTGAGAGGACTCCAGACACACTAAGTTCCGTTTTAAGTAGGAGAAAGATTTAATACGGATTTAAGATTTGGGGCCTAGCCCTTTCTTAGAGTCAGGAAAGAAGCATAATTAATTCAGTTTAGGACATGTAAGTTCCAGGTACTGTGAGGTAAGCAAATGTGCTGTGAGCAGTTGGATGTGAAGATCTGTAACTCAAGGAAGAAATGTGGGCTGAAGTTGCAGGTTGTAGGGGTACCATATCTATTAGAACATGTAAGATTATTTGGAAGTCCTTGTCTTGGATGTACTACCAAAAGATAAGGTAGAAGGAAAACTCAAGAATGGATCCTAGAGAATATTAACTTTAAGGGAAACGAAAGGAAAGGAAAAAAGGTACTAGAGATAGGAGAAAAGCCAGAAGAAATTGGTATCATTAAAGCCTAAAAGACTTAGAGATTGCGTGGGTTAGAAGGCAGCTGTGACTAAGAGCAAAGCATTGGATTCCTGTATCCAATCTGTTGGGATGTTTGGGAGACATTTCAGAACTAGCGTCTCTTTAACAGAGTTCTTAATTGCCCACAGCTGCCTCATATTGACCCCAAGTTAGTCCTCCCTTGGTCTTCCCGTCTCTGCCAATTAGTGTTACCACACACCTGAACATAAGTGAAAGCCTGTTCTTCACTGCTTCCTTTCCCTAATATTTAACCTGCTAACAGATTCATCTAAAATTTATGTAAACTGTGTTTACTGTCTGCTTATATCCTCCACTGTTCATTCGAAGTCACCATTGTTCTCCATCTGAAATGTTGTGGGGTATCCACCAGAGAAGACTGCTTAGACAGGACTTTAAACCAACAGAAAGTCTTTATTACCAGCCGGTGACCACACTGTTCAGGATCCCAGTGTAGCACCAAGCCTGTCTCAGTGTGAGCTTTTAAACACAAAAACTATGTTCTAGATTGACATGCTTCAGGTAACAAGAGTAGTTGGCTAGAAATAGAATTATAAAAGCCAAAAAGCAAAGTTAGTACATTTAGAAACTTTCCCGGAACTATAGATGTTGATGGATTAGGTCTTTGTTTTCATTTTGGCAGGTGGTACTGTCTACATGCTGAGTTTTATGACCTGAATGTTTCTTCCATCATGGAGTCAGTTGTGCTAAGGTCTGGGGGCCCTGTCACACAAACCAGAGTATACTAGCCGATCTCATCTCTGCTTTCATGGTTACCCCACAAACTTTACTTCACAAAACCAGTTAGGTGACCGTTTAAAATATATACATATCCAAATCCTTTGTGGTGACATAAGCCTATAGTTTCATTTGGGGGAGTAGGGTTACTTGAGCCCAGGAGTTTAAAGCCAGCCATGTAGCATAGCAAGTCCCCAATCTCAGAACAAACGAAAGGCCAACAAAAACTCTTCTGCTTCTTATTCTGCTAGAGCTCCCAGTTCTGACTTATGAAGCCAGTTCTCTGTTGATGGATATTCTGTTTGGTTCCAACCTTCTGCTTTGTACTTGAGGTGCTCATCTGTGCCGCTTTTGAGGCGGTATAGAGTACTAAGAGTTTCAGTTTGCGTCGACACTGACCTCTGCCTCTCAGAAAGAAGCTTTGATCTAGGGCAGGTTAATCTACTCCTTTGTGTTTTAGTTTTATCAACTGCAAACTGAGGATAATTGTAGAACCAATGTGATATAGAGTTCCTACCTCAGTGTCTGACTGACACGTTCTCAGTAAATGTTAGCTGTTTTTATTCTCAGTATCAGTAGCTTCTCTGTATAATGTAGCCATCGATGGCTACTAAACACTTAAAGTATGACTACGCTAGATTAAGAAATGAATAATAAGTTAGAAATGAAGAATAGTGGCTGATTTTAATGACTTGGTATGAAAAAATGTAAAACATCCTAATAATTTTAATTACATTGTATCTTAGAGTTATAATATTTTAATACATTGGGTTATAGAATGTATATTAAAATTCATTTAATATTTTTAATCTTTGTTTTATATTCCATCTATTTATTTTAAAAATTTTAATTGTAAAAGGAACATGTAATTCGCCTTCTGAACCTTTTTTTTATGCAGGGGGTATTTCCAAAACAGGGTTTCTCTGTGTAGCCTTGGCTGTTCTGGAACTCGCTGTATAAACCAGGCTGGCTTTGAACTCACAGAGATTCGCCTGCCTCTGCTTCCTGAGTGCTGCTGGGATTGAAAGCGTGTGTCACCACTGCCCAGCTACTCTGAATTTGATGTGGCTGCTAGAAAAATTAAAATTACCTATGTGGCTTCCATTTGTGGATCACATTTTGTTCTTATTAGACATTGCTGTTTCATAGGATACACTTTTTTGAATTTTTTCTGTGTGTGTGAGAGAGAAAGAGAGAGAGATGAAGCGAGAGATGGAGAGATGTGTAGAAGTCAAAGAATAACTCTATGTATTCAGTTTCCTTCTTTTCATTTTCCTGTGGAAGAAGATAAATTTTTTATCATAAAATTTTAAAAGTAAAACGTCTGGTCCAAAGGGATATGCAGAGAGCGAGAGCAAAGGGTCAGGAGCGGGTAGCACTTAGGAGCACTGCTGCACTTCCAGAGGACCCTGGTTTGTTTCTCAGGAACCACGTGGTGACTCACAACCATCTGTAACTCTGGTCCCAGGGACTCCAGCGCCCTCTTGTGGCCACCGTGGGTGACAGGCACGCAGGTGGTGGGTGTACACAAATATCTCAATTACTGCTTCTATTTTACTAGAGGTTATGGATTTGTTTATATTGCTTATTTGATCTTGATTTAACTTTGGTGGGTCATATATGTCAAGAAATTCATCCATTTCTTTTAGTTATTCCAGTTTGGTGGAATACAGATTTTTTTTAAGTATGTCCTTATTCTCTGAATTTCCTCAGTGTCTGTTGTAATGTTATCCTTTTCATCTCTAATTTAGATTTTCTCTCTCCATCTTTTGGTTAATTTGGCGAAGAGTTTCTCGATCTTGTTGATCTTTTTTCTTCAAAGAACCAATTCTTCATTTTATTGCTGCTTTATATTGTTTTTGTTGTTCTTATTTATTAATTTCAGCCTCGAATTTGATTAATTTTTTCCCATTTACTCTTTGGGTGTTATTTCTTCTTGCTCTGGAGTGTTTAAATTTGTCACTAAGTTGCTAATATGAAATCTCTCCAGTTCGTTTTGTTTCTGTTTTTTGTGTAGGCACTTAGTGCTATGAACTTGCCTCTTAGAACTGCCTTCATTCTGTCCTATAGGTTGGGTATGTTGTGTTTTCATTTTTATTCAGTTCTAAAAAGTTTTACTTTTCTTCTTGATTTTTGTCTTGATCCGATTTTGATTCTATTGAGTTGATTTCTATGAATTTGTATATTTCCTGTTGTTTCTGTTGTTGATAGAAGAATTTTTAAGTTGAATAATTTGTCACATTGTGACAGAGTTTAATACATAGTATATGCAGTCAAATGTCTTTCATTTAGAATGGAACAGCAGGGTTCCATGCCATATCTGTGATAGAATCAGCATAAATATTTGTTAAGCAATGTCCCTTCGAGCTTTGAAACCCTGTGAAGTCTTAGAATTACCTTTTTGATTGCTTTTGTTTTGGGGTGTGTGTGATTATTCTTAGTGCCTTACTGATTAAACTACTAGAGAAATTGAAAACTGCTTGAAATGTACTTAACATACTATTTTTATTTTCTTCCGATACATACTTTGATATTACATAAACTCTTCAATGGAGTTGATTTATTCTATTTCATATAATACAGTACTGAGTTTAATAGTGTAAGTTTTTGTGGATACTTTATGTTTTCTTAGTTTTTAAAGATCTATTTATTTTTAAGTGTGTGAATGTTTTGCCTGCATGTATGTCTGTGCACCACAGGCATGCAGTACTCTGAATGCAGTGCTGCAAGAGGGTGTCAGAGCCCTGAAAACTGAGACTGGAGTTACAGATGGTTCTGAGCCACCTTGTTGGAACCAACCTGGGTTTTCCGCTAGAACTGCCAGTGCTCTTAACTGCTGAGCCGTCTTCTCAGACCCATTTCATGTTTTTTATATTATCTTTAGAAATAGTTATAAATCTAAAAATATAATTGTATACTAACATACCATATATTATAAGGTGGTTATATTAATCCCCTATATTAGCTTGTTACTGCAGTTGATTCTAAGATAAACTATAATACATGATTGTTTTATTGTAACAAGTCTCTGTGAAATCATTACCATCAATTACTTTAGTGTTAGTAAATTAGCCTAATACTGATAATTTTTTACTTAATTTGATATTCTTCAAAAAATCAGCAAGCTCTACTATAGCTGAGAAAGAGCCTACAAGCATTTTAACTAATTATGGCTGTATTTATGTACCACATAGGTGTATTGGGAAACTGGTGCTCAAATCACATCTCCTCATGATAAAGAAATTCTGAAATGTATAGAAGAGTGTGTGGAGCCATGGAATGGTTCCTGGAATGATAATTTAGTGGACACCAGCCCACTTAAGAAAGATCCTCTCCAGGACATCTGCAAGAGATACATGGAAGATCTGAAAAAGATCTGTTTTCACAGGTATCCAATTGGACTGTAGGTGCCCTTGGAATAGCATACATCCAGGCCTGGTACAGAAATGTCCTACATGAGCTTGGTATCAGAGTCATTCAGCTAGTCTCTCTCTCTCTCCCCCCTCCCTCTCTCCCCTCTCTCACCTCTTTCCCTCTCTTCCCTCTAACATACTAGGAGATACTTAGGTCGTATCGAAAGCATAAAAGAACCATCATGAGGGCCTGCCACTGGCCAAAGACTAGAAAGTCTTCAAAATGAAAAATCCACTTTTTTTTTTCCTGTGGTAGAGATTGAACTCTGAGCTTTATCCATGCTAGGCAGTACTCTACCACTGATCTGATTGCCCCAAATTCAACTATTAAATGCAGGAAGAAGAGTAGAATTAAAACATCACAATTTTGTGATCTCGATAACGAACCTTAGCAGCCATGCTCAAAGCTTATAATAGGCAGTAAACGGATAGGAGCCTGCAGATGATGGGAGAAGGTGACAGGTACTTGTTCACATTAGCTGTGAAGCTGGCGTGATGGACTTCCTATGAGGGTGACAGGGCACTGGTACATTAGCTGTGAAGCTGGCGTGATGGACTTCCTATGAGGGTGACAGGGCACTGGTACACATTAGCTGTGAAGCTGGCATGGTGGACTTCCTATGAGGGTGACAGGCACTGGTACACATTAGCTGTGAAGCTGGCGTGGTGACTTCCTATGAGGGTGACAGGGCACTGGTACATTAGCTGTGAAGCTGGTGTGGTGGACTTCCTATGAGGGTGACAGGGCACTGGTTCACATTAGCTGTGAAGCTGGCGTGGTGGACTTCCTACTGTGGCTGGGTAGAAAATCACAGCCTCTGTTCTTGCCAAAAGAATTGGAATTGAATCTCATGTTGCCCCTAGATTAAATGACCCATACATTGGAGAAACAGATCAGAAACGTACTGATATAAAAAAGGGCTGAGATGTAGCTCAGTAGAGAGCTTGCCTTGTGTGAGCAGAGCCTTCCCTGAGGTGAATCCCAGTAACGCACAAACTGGACACAGTGGCATACACATGTAATCCCAGTGCTTGGGACACAGAGGCAGGAGGATCAGAAGTTAGTGGTCATCCTCAGCTACATGGCGCGTTTGAAGCCAGCTGGAGACATTTACGAGATTTTGTCTCAAACTGAAAGAGGTGGGAAGGAGGAAAAGGAAAACAAAATGAAAAGGATGCGTAATTTGCATACCAAGATGCGGATGGACATTCTCTGGGAGAAAACCAGCATTGGAAACATACAGAAAGAACATTTACAAAGTCAAAGACTTGAAAGGCATAGCAACCAGATGTTATTTTTTAGATACTTGGAGGAAATGTGATCACAGATATTAGACAACATTAAAAAATTATTGTTCAGTTTGTTGGATGTGACAATGGGATTATGTTGGTGTTTTTAAATCCTAAAGTATTTTGTACAAAATAATATGTTGTACAGAAGTAAAGCAAGACTGACAGAATTGATAGATGTTGAAACAAAGTGCCAAGTATTTATGGGTGTTCTCTTTATGTGTATTTTGAAACTTGTTATGAAATAGTTGTTATTTTATAAATCTTGTTTACTATAGGAAGTGATTAGTAAATGATGAGTAAGGATATGTGCTTTTTCTTTACAGGGACTTAAATTCAAAGACCACCTTGAAATTTGTGCATACCTCCTTTCACGGAGTTGGGCATGACTATGTGCAGTTGGCTTTTCAAGTATTTGGTTTTAAGCCTCCAATTCCTGTCCCAGAACAGAAAGATCCAGATCCAGAGTTTTCTACTGTTAAATGCCCAAACCCTGAAGAAGGAGAATCTGTGCTGGTATTGTTTTCAATATTTAAATTATTCTTAGCTTATCACCCATCATACTAGATGTCAGGGATGGCTTACCTTCCCCTGTGCCCTGCAGCAAGCACCATCAGGATGTGTTTGAAATCTCTGAAGAAAGTGGCCCTAGTTCTGCCTGTCCAGACTGCATGCTTTCTGAAATTCATATCACGGACAGTGCCTTCATTACAAGCACATTGGATTTGGGTTCTTTAGTACAATCTAGCCTTTTTGGATTTCCTGTTCAGGAACTCTCCCTAAGACTGGCAGAGAAAGAAAATGCCCGGATAGTGCTAGCCACAGATCCTGATGCAGACCGGCTGGCGGTAGCGGAACTTCAGGAGAAGTAAGTAGTTTGAGCTTCAGCCCTAAATGGGACATCCACATCACTTCCTCCTCCCAAGAATCAAGGATTATCACAGAAGGGGGTGTATAAAGATTCTGAGAGCCAGCTGTGTTTTCAGGACACTGCAGGTCAGCTACACATATGAACTCACAACACTGGTGGGGACAGAGACAGGAGGCTCATGGAGTTCATCGGCTAGTCATCCTAGCTGAATTGATGAACTCCAGGTTCTGTGAGAGACCCTGTTGCCAAAAGTAAGGTGGTAAGCTGGTGAGATGACTTAGTGATTAAGAGCACTTGCTTCTCTTTCTGAAATCTGGGTGTGGTTTCCAACACTCACATCAGATGGCTCACAGCTGCCTGTCTTCTAGTTCCAGGGGATCCACCACCCTCTTCTGGTCTCCACAGGCATTACATACATATGCACATACAGGCAGACAAGCGTGCACACATGCACATGAATTAAATTAGAACTATATTTAAAAATAAGGTGAAGAGTGATAGAGGAAGTACTCAATGTTCACTTCCAGCCTCCCTACATATGCACATACATGTATGCACAAGTAGATACACATGTGTACACAACTCACCAAAAAGAAGGAATAAATATTTTGTCATATAAAAACTTTTAGGGTTTCCAAGACAAGGGGGGATAGGGTGGGGACACTGATTTAAAGGTCTAAGCTGGAGAGTTTTTGTGAGAAGCTACCGAGGTCTTGACTTTGAAGTTTCATTCTTTCTACAGTGGTCACTGGAAAGTTTTCACAGGGAATGAGTTGGCAGCTTTGTTTGGGTGGTGGATGTTTGATTGCTGGAAGAAGAGCAAATCGGACGCTGATGTGAAGAACGTTTACATGCTGGCCACCACCGTCTCTTCTAAAATTCTAAAGGCAATTGCACTGAAAGAAGGATTCCACTTTGAGGTAGGAATGAAGTGGGCGTCATTTGAAGTCTGCACGGCAGTTCTTTAAACATTTCTATAAAGACAGCTCCGCACCAAACCAACTTTCACTGAGCTCATTCATAACTCCCAATTTTCTAACTGTTTACACTTGCGTAAAATGCTTGGTAATTAGACACCCGAGCCGAAGTCATCTAGTGTGTGAATTTCCGAGGGGACATGTTCTTCCAGACACTACCACAGTGCTCCTTACTCCACATAGGGAGTGTCTGGGGATGTCATGTGAGAACATAGAACATTTTAGACTGGGAAAAATCTGACTTATCAGTGACACAGGCTTTAGAGAATTCCAAATCTCGTTGAATCTTTGCTTATACTTATCAAATGCAGAATTATGACTTGTTATCTGAAATGTAGCTAAATTGCAAACTCAGTTTAAAATCCAGTGACTCAATATCCAGAAAATTAGTAGTGACTCCCAGGCTGGATCATTAATTTTTGTGAACCTTGGGCAGGTAGTGACCCTTTTAATTAGCTATGTGGACTAACATCAGTTAAGTTGTCTCTGTCGTCTTTGCCGGGTACCAGTGAAAGCGGACATTTTTCCTGAGTCATCATCAAGCTGTGGATCTTACTATCAATTAGATATGTAAAAGAGTATTATGGGCTGGGGAGCTGCTTAGTGAGTAAAATTTTGCCTTGCTCTCTTGAGGACTGGAATTTGAATCCCCAAAACCCATGTAAAGTTGGATGCAGTATTGCATACATGTAATTCTAGTGTCCTATGGTAAGTTGAGATGCAGGGATGCTTCTAAAGTCCATAGACACCTGTCCTGTTGAATGCAGTGGCAAACAATGAAGAGACCCTATTTTATGTAAGGTTGAAAGATGAGAACCAACTCCCAAGGTTGTCCTATAAAGTCCACATATGGACTGGCATACGTATGCTCTCCTTCACGTGAACATCAGTGTATCCATACACACCAATCATTTAAAAAAAGAGAGAGAAAAATGAGTATTGTGCTTGTTACATACAAAAATTAGAAGATAATGAAATTTTATTCAAGCCTAAGATTCTGAGTTATGATGTTAACATTTTCTTCATTTATGGCAAAGAATATATCCTAAACATAAAAGAGAAACTTGATTCTAAAAAGCAATATTATAAATTTGTTTGTTTTTACTGAGGGTGGTGTTGACTTTTCTATTTCTTTTTTTTAAGAGAAAGTAGAAAAGTGAATTAGGAAACAGCAGTGATGGTAAACTCTAGAATCAGTAAACTCTGTTGACACTAGAACGTCTTTAAAGCAGACAGTAGTTCATCGGATGAAAAGCCCTCATTCTGATTTCAAGAATCATCATGTATGCCACAGCACTGTGGAACGACATACACAGTTCCAGCATGTGGTGTGCTTATGATGCGTCACTAAAAACCTAAAGGCTTTGATTGCCCGAGAAGGCTAAATTAGGAAAACAATATAATTCAACTCTGCCTCCATCCCTCAAGTACAGTCTTGGGAACAGTTAATCTCTGAGCCTCTCCTATGGCAGCAATGTTTGCGAGCATCAGAAAGGGTGACGTAAAGCACCCTTTACAGTCCTTGACTAGCCGTGGGTGGTTGCAGCATATGTAGACACACACACATCTCTGCGTTTATATTCCTCATCACATAAATGTACTGGATTTGATGTAAGTCACTGTTTCTCTGCTGGTGGGTCATCAGTTGTGCCTGTGTGTGGTGGGTGGCTGTGGTAGTTTGTGACTATATATCTACCACTTTATAAACCTCTGTGGCCCGAGGATCTGGACAGGAACTCACTGTTCGGGAGTTCTGTGCATTTAGAAATAAGCTCTTTAATGTGTATTCACTTAATCAGAGTTGATTAACTGAAGGGGCTTCCTCTACATTTCAGGAAACATTACCAGGCTTTAAGTGGATTGGAAGTAGGATAAAAGACCTCCTAGGACATGGGAAAGAAGTCCTTTTTGCATTTGAAGAGTCTATTGGTATGTAGTAAATACTAATAAATTTTTAGTTAAACATTTCAAAATATGGTAATTCTATAGAGAGGAGACATTTACCTCCCAGCTGTAATTTTGAGTTGTGGAAATGCAGAGATGCCTGCCTAGCGGTCTGTGTTTTTCAGTGAACAGTGGTTCATCAGATGAAAGACTCTCAAATCTGATTACAAAGAAGGACTTTGTAAAGGCTTTATGTAGGCCACGGTGTTAGGAAAATTTAAGTATGTGGTGTGCTTACATGGCATTGTTTAAACCTCAAAGGCTTTGCTTCCCTAAGAAGGCTAAATTAAATAGGTAGGTGCATTTTCCATCAGAGAAGAACTTAGAGGTCCCTGAGTACTCCGTTACTAGATTCTAACGGAGTTAGGTGTTTTATTATTGTCCTCACTGTATTTTGTTGCTAATGATAAGTTTTTCTGTTTGTCGTTTTTATTTTGAGACAAGATCTTAGCTATTACATCCTAGCCTGGCCTTGAACTCCCAGTTAAGCCCCTTGGGTGCTGAGATGTAATCATATATTACCACACCTGGCCTGATCCTACACTCTTCAGTGCTGGTCAGTGGGAAAATATAAGACTGTGGTAGTTGTAGGCCGAAGTTTCCCCCTTTTCTAAAGACGCTGTGTAACCCTCAGGCTTTCTGTGTGGAACCTCAGTGTTGGATAAAGATGGAGTGAGCGCAGCTGTGGTTGTTGCCGAGATGGCCTCTTTCCTGGAAACCAGGAAGGTAACCCTGACAGAGCAGCTGGCCAAAGTTTATGAAAAGTAAGTTCTCGTATGAATCTCGTGCTAGATAGATATTCCTTGCTTGCCTTTTTGTTTGTTTGATTGATTTGGTCCTTTTCTGGGTTTGTTTTTGAGGAATAGTTAGACTTCTTTACTATTAAAATTATCAGTATTATTTTCTATAAGATATTACATTGGCTTATCTTTAATATGTACATGTCCCAAAAGTTATCTTGAATCTGACTTCAGATTTAAATCTTTGCACAGATACGGTTATCACATGTCAAAAACTTCATATTTCTTGTGTTATGACCCACCTACCATCAAAACTATATTTGAAAGGATTCGCAATTTTGAGTCTCCAGGGGAGTACCCAAAGTTCTGTGGGGCTTTTGCTATCTTGCATGTACGAGACATAACCACTGGATATGACAGCAGCCAGCCCAATAAGAAGTCAGTAAGTACCTTTTCTCCTTTCTGTGGTAGGTCCATACCTCACCATTATTTAAGGCTTATGGCAAGGGCTGGTGGTGGTAGGGCACTTACCTAGAATGTGTGAGACTTAAGACCTAAGGCAAATACTGCCTCCTCCTTACGACTCCAGGTCCCATGGGTTTTGTGAGAGTGAGTGTCTTTGTTGATATCTACTTATGTTATCATTGCATGTGGTCCTTTTCCTCTCTGCCTCTCAAAGCTCCTACCTGTGTGGTAGGTGCTCTAGACACCTATGTGTGATGAATTTTTATATTCATTCTCTTGTTATGATAACTGTTCGCTTAAGTCTTCATTTATAGTATTCAAGATGTTGTAATATTTAAAAGATGTTTCAGTATTCTAATAATGTATTTAACATGTTTGTATCTTACCACATTTTTATTTTTTTTATTCTTTGAAGATTATATATGTGTGTTTAATGTATTTTGATCTTACACATCCCTCTGGGATTCACCAACCTGTCTCCCTCAGGATTTCATGTTCTCTTTTTAAATCTTACCAGTTTTCGAACATTCAGTTCTGTAATGATAAGTATGTTTATATTAGTGCACAACAGATTCCCAGAAGGTTTTAGCCTTGATAAATTGAAACTGAACTCTGTACTCATTAAACAACTTTCCACCCCCTCTCCCAACCCTTGGCAACCACCAATATACTTTGTTTCTATGTATTAAACTACCTTAGATGCTTCATATAAGTACAATGTAGTTTATAGCTCTTGAAAATATAGATCCAGGTGTGAACTGTTGTGTTTTGCATAGGTACTGCCTGTGAGTAAAAACAGCCAAATGATTACGTTTACTTTTCAAAATGGCTGTGTTGCCACTCTTCGAACAAGTGGGACAGAACCAAAGATAAAGTATTATGCAGAGATGTGTGCATCACCTGGCCAGAGGTAAGAACTGATTCTTTTAGTTATATTCATAAAGGCTTTATTGGTGTATGACTTATATACACCATAAAATTCACACATGCTAGTATAAAATTGAGTAGCTTTTAGCACATCCAGAGCTGTGTAGCCATCACTACAATCAACTTCAGAACACTTCTGTAACTCCAGAAGAAAGCCTCTGTATGGCCCAGGAGGCCCTTCCCAGTCCAAGCGATCACTAATCTACTGTCCTTTTCTATAGATTTACTTACAGTGGACATGGGTTACACTTTTTCTTGTTTTCCACACTTGAAAAAGGGGGGAGGGGGACCGGAGAGATGGCTCAGAGGTTAAGAGCACTGACTGCTCTTCCAGAGGTCCTGAGTTCAGTTCCCAGCAACCACATGGTGGCTCACAACCATCTGTAATGAGACCTGGTACCCTCTTCTGGCCTGCAGGCAGAATATAGGCAGAATACTGTATATATAATAAATAATAAATCTTAAAAAAAAGTTTTAAAAAAGAGGAAGCATTTATTTGGGTCATGCTTTTTGAGGTTTCAGTTCTTGGTTGCTGGATCTGTTTCTTTGGACCTAAGGCAAGGATGAGCATGGTGTGGAGGAGGAAGGGTCAGGTAAAACCTTCCAAAGCACAGCCCAGTGCCCGATTTCCTTCAGGTACTTTCTACCCCAAATAGAACCAGTATCTGAATATTACAGTATCTAATATTACAGTATTATCATTTATAATACTGTAATACCTGAGTCTATGAGGCACTTTCAGATTCAACCTATAACAGGATACTTTATGTAAATAAATACAGTATGTGTTCCTTAGTGGCTGAAATCATCCTTAGCTCCCAAATATTCCATTGTGTGAATATATATCATGTTTTTAAATCCACTCATCCATGGACATTCAAACTATTTACATCTTTTAAACTATCACAAGTGAGCATTTGTGAATGACTTTGTGTGGCATGCAATTTCATTTTTCTTGGATATATATGAAGGAGAAGGATTGCTGGGCCCTGAGGTAGCCCTAAGGTATCTTTTACCTCTTGAGAGACTGCCGGACTCTTTCAAAAAAAAAAAAAACTTTATCATACTTTATCATTGAATTTCAAAATTGTAGTCATTTTTTTGTTCTTGGAAAGACCCTGAGATTTAGTATAAAGCAATGATCAATACTTGCTCTGTATATTACCAAGCACTTGTTTTGTGTATCTGTCATGGTTTTGCATAATCTGCCCAATTCATTTTCTGAAGATAAGAGTTATTGTCAAAGATTGTTAGTCTTTTCAATAAACATATCAAACGTTATTTTAAAGTACTAAAAGTATTTCTTTTTATTATTTCATTCATTGACTAGTTTATTTTGGGGAAGGAGATTTTATTTTTTCATTGTCTTCAGACCATGCCCTTGTACGAAAATTGCATTTCCACTGGAGAGGGAAAAGTCCTCTATGTTCAGAACAAAGTTTATAGTTACCCAGATAAGTAGATTTTAGGTTAAAATGAATAATTATTAAAGTAATAAGATGGATGTTACCTTGCCTGTCAGTGACTGTGAAAGCAGTCACTGGAAGCTTCTCTAGAAACAGTTTGAGCTGGACCAGTGCTCCCATGACGACTCAGAGGGAATTGCTTGTAACTGTATAGTTTTTATTTTGTTTTGGTTTGGTTTTTGAGACAGGGTTTCTCTGTGTAACAGCCCTGGCTAACCTGGAATTCACTTTCTAGACCAGGCTGGCCTCGAACTCACAGAGATCCCCCTGCCTCTGCCTCCTGAGTGGGACTAAAGGTGTGCACTTCCACTGCCCAGCAAGTGTATAGTTATTTTGTAATAAACATTTCATTATTTTTTTCTACTTTTTTTTGAGACAGACTCTCACTGTGTAGCCGTGGCTGGCCTGGAACTTTTTATGTTATGTAGACCAGGCTGGCCTCAGACTTACAGAGATCACACGCTGGGACTGCTCTCTGCCACCTGAAAGACGGGTAGTGTTGTCCCTGTCACCTGTTTTGAATATCCTTCAGTACCCCAGGAAATCATTCTGTAATAATTCTTGGTGTTAGCATTTGGAGCTGTTCAATTGCCTAGCTTAGGAGAATCAATTGACCATAATTAAGTCACACTTTATCATGGGTCAGAAGATACCTAGTTTATGATTATTGTTTTGTATATGAATTTTTTGAGAGTGTCTTGTTTTATTTTAACTGAGTGAATCTTTTTTTTTTTGCTTGCCAATTATTTAACTATTTCATTCGATATATGCCCTCCCTAAAAGTGAAAATAAATAAATGTTAAGGCTATGAAAATAAGAATTTTAAAGTTCTTTGTCTTTATCCCTCAGTGACACTGCCTTACTGGAAGAAGAATTAAAGAAGCTCATTGACGCTCTGATAGAGAATTTTCTTGAGCCGAGTAAGAACGGCCTGACGTGGCGTTCTGTATAGGGCACTTCAGTACATTATGACCTTGCACTGACATGGAGCGAAGAACTCTAGACAGTGAACCTCGTGTTGGAATTCTCTCGTCTGCCAAGTTATCTTTCCCCTTCTCTTTCCTTTGTTCAGCTGGCTAAATAGATTATATACATTTGAAATGAAAATGTTTTCATAATCTTAAATGTCGGTCGTTACGTTGAAAGTGTTCAGTGGCCGCCACTCCTCCTGTATCACAAACAGTACAAAAGTGAGTTTTCTTATTAAACTGTGGTTAAGCTTAGTTACATGATGTAATTGTGTATAGCATGGTTTAAAATAAACATTATATAATATAGGGTTAGTTAAAGAAATTATTTCTTAAAGGTGTGTAGGTTGCTGGGGTGTTCCACACCCATTGTGGAAAAGTATAATTGTCATGATGTAGATATTGATTTTCAAGTTAGAAACCCAGCTTGGTGGCACATTCCTGTAATTACAGCCCTCAGGAGGCTGAGACAGGAGGATCATTATTTAATTTATGGCCAGCCTGGGTTGCACAGAAAGATTCTGTCTCAAAAAAAGAAAAGTTTATAGTTTTTTTGTTTTTTTGTTTTTTTAGGTTTTCTGACTTAGGACAGATGTCACAGTCTGTGGTTTTGCACCTCTGTCTCAGGTGCCCTTGCTATGGTGTATATTTACTGTATTATTTAAGACAGATGTTTACTGAACATAAAACAATAGTGGCAACGCTCCTAGTGGCTTTGTTCTTGTCGAGTTTCTCAGTGCATTCTCAGGCGCGGTGTGAACTGAACAGTGTTCCTGCATTGGATATAACTACCAGTCCATTTTCTGATGGTTAAGGGAAATCTTCCCAACTGTATAGGTGCTTCCTATATAGAAAACAGATTTGTTGGCTCTAAAAATGGTTGTAGAAAAAGATCTTAATAAAATCTGGCTTAATGGAACTATAGTCGAGTCTCCGTGCAAGGATTCAGGCATCGTAGCCTGTAAGTGGGATGAGCGTGGCATTTATTTCACAGTCTTATCGAATTGCATTTTTATAAGTAGATGTAATCTTTTATCTGAAAAGTAATGCTGATCTTAACAAGAAATGGAACATCAAGATTTAAGTATTTTCCGCCACCTTGATTCAATGCCCAGTCTCATTTGATCTCAGAAGCTAAACAAGGCTAAGCATGGTTGTTGCTTGGGTGGGAAATTTGGGTGTTATGAAACACTGAAAGTGCTGTTTAAGACTAAGGTCAATTTATTTTAGTGTGTTCCTGGCTTTGGACTTTCTGATAGTATAAATACCCTTCTTCTTTTTCCGTATGAAAACAGTTTTCAGGAAAGTCATCTGTGGTTGATTCTCTAGCTCTCTGAAGAGCCCTAATAGAGAAATATTGTCTAAGCTTTCCAAATTGTGTATCTTTCTACATAGATAACATAATACATGCTATAGTTAGTATAACAGTAACAAAGCCTTGTGGTGTAATTGTTTAAACAAAGTTGCCTATAGGATACAGCACTGATATTAATTTTTTTGCTAAAATAGTAATATATTGCCTAAACAGATTAGAATGTTAATTAAATCACAGTTTGGTTTTTTTTTACAGATTTGAGCTAATTTTGGTTGAGCTTGTGTAATCCAAACACAGTTTTCAAATTATGTTGCCACTATTGTTTTGTTCCTTCCTTGCTGTCCTAGAGCTGGGTCCTATATGACTATAGAGAATAGCTAGTTAATGTACAGTGCCATTTTTCTGTATGGGTTTATTTTAAAGGCTTTGCATTAGAGAAGAAGTATATAGAATGTTTTCTTTTATTCTTAAGATATATAAAACATTTTTGTTTATTGGCTGTTAGGAGTATAATTGTAATTTAGGAAATGGCATGTATTCTACAAAGCTGTATATATGGAAAACATGCACATTAATTTCAATGTCTGTGTTCCAGTGATCCAAGAACAAAATGAAACTAAAGTGATGTGATAGCTATTCATAATCACAGAAGCCATGTCATGATTGCCATCCACTTATGAAGTGGATGTTTTTGTTTGAATGCTTTAGCATATACAAGATATGTCATCTTAAAGTGAAGTTACTGACATTTGAGCTCTTATCTTGAAAGGCTAAATCCCAGTTATGTGTACAGGTTCCCAACGTGTATAAGTTGAGGAAACTATTTGATTTTGTCCAGATTCTTGACTGTGTCTGAACATGTTTAACTAAACGTGGCATAGTGGGTGCATAGGTCCCTAACAGGAAAGGATGTCAGCCAGTGGGTCTCAGCTTTTGCGCTACATTTGTTCATTTCTTTTCTTTTCTCAACAATAGTATGAGAATGAATATATTTTCTTTGAGTGAATAAATCAAAACAGGTTTTTTCTGGAGCATTAGGGAGAAGAATTAGGCTGGGACAGAGCCCAGTGGTAAAGCACTTTTCTAGCATGCAGATAAAGCAAAGATAGTTGCCAGACTTGCATGATCTCTGGCAATGCAGGGGTAGGAGGGTTGAGGGAGAAGGTTGTCATTGATGGGCAAAAATCAAAGAGTAAAATGGAAATAACAGTAGAGATTGACAGACAGTATATAAAAGTCAGCAATGGCAGCATGAGAAATGCTTCTTGTGAACCATAATCCAAGTGCTATTAACAGTGGGGTGAACTGTACGTGAACGGTGGCCGTTCACTTGTGTTTGTAAGCAGACGGCAAGTCTACCGTTTTCCTTCAGTCATGATCACTGAAGAGAAGCCCCATTCTAGGAGGAAAGGAAGAAGTTCTCTTATTATGGATCCCATTCCTCCTGGGATGTTCTTTTAGAATCACATGAGAACAGGAGACAAGAAAGAACAAAGCTAAAAGAAATAAAACTAAGGATTGTAAAGTATATCCTCTAAGAAAAAGTTCAAGGAATTAAGATCGTCATACTCTGACTCATTAACTAAATCATAAGTTATTCATTGGGGTTTCTACTGAAGGTATCAAAGTAAGGAACACTAATGGCATCCTGACAATCTGTAGTGAAGACACCAGAAAGAATAAGGACGTAAAATGAATAGGAAAGACCTGTTATAAAAACAAGAAAAGAAGACATGGTGGGTAGAAGGGGACTAGTTAAAAAGGGTGTCAGCGGGAGTAGGGCAGGATTAAGAGAAGGGTGATGGGGTGACGGTGATCAAAATGCATTTTATACACAGATGAAATTGTCAGAAATAAATGAATAGACAACGTGAAATGTTAAAGAGGTAAGAATTTTTGGGGGGAGGGACGATCTTGAAACCTATGTAAAGATTCCTTCATACACACTTTAAGAATCAGGTTGGAACAAGACTTCTGTATAGAACTCTAATGGTGAGTTGTGTTCACCCCGTATCTAGAGTCCGGCTCACAAATATCTTGTGTATATTTTGAATGGTAGGTGCATGAGCACAATAATGGGTGTTCTTTTTAATTTGCAAACTGTATGAAACTTGAACACACTCGTGTTCATCTAGGAGAACACACAGCTTTGTAAGATATTTGAGATCTATCGCAAATATAAAAGTATCAGTATTTGGCTACAGTAACTTAAGACACATTCCAAGAGAATGGATACTTTGTGATGTCTGCATGCAGACCCCCCCCCCCCCAATTTCTTCAAGATGCTTCTGGAATTGATACAACAGAAACCTTAAGTGGGAGTCTCCTTGGGAAGTTCAACAAATGCTGCTACTACTTCTATTTCCAGACTTTTCCACTGGTATTTCCAAAGCTTGAAAAATACAAATTCCACTTGGATACATTTAATTTCACACCTTTCTTGCTCTACCTCCCTCTTCCCATGGCATCCTTCTACCTTCTGTTACTGTGAAACGCGACTGCCCTGTTACCTCACTGGTCAGAATATTAACTGTTCATTCAGATGCTTTAAACTCGGTCGTGACTGTTTACAGACTGTTGTTTTACTGATGTCAGAGTATTTGAGATGTGCTGTATGAAATAACTTTAATGTCTTTTAGTGCCTGTTTCTGCTTGTCATAGATGGTGTTGCCGTGGCCTTTTACAATGCATTTATCTTCTGAATTTGTTCTAGAAACTGATGAGGAAACCGTTATATTGTCCAAATTGGTCAGTTGGTCTAGCATTTTATTTGGGGTGGGGGCGCGTCCCTGGCTTTGGGCAGTAAGAGCACGAAACTTGAGAAAATCATTTTTCACATTCGTCCCAAGCATTTTATCCTAAACTGAAAGAAGTCTGGAGAGAGAGAGCTGGGTGTCTAATCCCAGCCCTGGAGAGACTAAGGCAGGAGAATTGCTGTGAGTTCAAAGTCAGCTTAGACTGCATGCAGAGGTCCAGGCCAAGAATAAAGTGAAATAAAAGGTGGTGCACACTTGCATCCCAGCTCTCGGGAGGCAGAGGCAGGTGGTCTACAGAGTGACAGCCAGAGCTGTTTCACAGAGAAACCTGTCTCAAAACCAAACAACAAAAGACCAAAAAGCAAACAAAAACCCAAAAAACAAACAAATAAACAAACAAACAAAAAACCTAAAACAGAAGAGAATTATACATTGCCTGATTTGTCACAAAGCGCTGGTTTAGCACCAGTCAGAAACAAAGCAAAATCAGTGTTTTTATGTTTCAGTGTTCAGGGGATTAGTAAACCCAACAAGCCATCTCCCCTCTGTTAATTGAAAGCTATCTATACTTTAAAAAGAAATCTTATAAAATTAATTAAGAGGCCAAGGCAGGGGCAAAGTGACCACAGTTTGCATCCTAAATTTTCCATCAGTAGACCCCTAAATCAGAGGAGCGTGAAAAGGATGGGTAATGGGGCCTTGAGAACAAAACCCAGAGAAGCCACCACTGACATGAGAGACCCTGTCTAGCTCTGAGTCACCAGGGGATTCTGAATTCTCTAAAGTATACTATAAAGATGAACTTCACACGGGGCTGGGAATGTAGCTCAGTGGTGGAGGGCTTTCCTGACATTGCCAAAGGTCCTAGATAGCAACGTTCCCAGCACCATTAAAAAAAAAAAAAAAAGGAAAATAACAGAAAGAAACACAAATTTGTCATGTGTTCCTCAATTCCCGGCCCCATCCCCCAACCTGCAATTGCTGCATTTTCCTGGAAGGATACTTAATGACCTTATTTTAACTTAATAGATTCTAGGATATTCTCTGTCTTCCTAACTTATACTTCCAAAGTATTAGTGCCAGGTTAATTACCTGCAACAACTATGTTACTTTGAACCATATAAGATTGTCTGATGTATTAGCCAGTTTATTCTGTTTAATTCACTGACACTCCTTGACACACCAGTCAGCTGCCTGAGAGCAAAAGGTCATGATTTATTGTTTTTAATATCTACTGTGCTAGATTCAGTGTCTCCTGTTAAGCAGTATTTAACTGGTGATGATAGTAATTAAGAGGTTTTATTTTAAAGTAAAACAAAATTTAAAAAGTAACAAAATAGTAGTTTTCCAATTCAGTTTTAAAGATAGGCATTATTACTGAGCTAGGCAGTAAGCTGTGTTTACTAAGCATGCACACCCTTAAACTAAGACATTCAATGTCTTATTAGGGTCTCTGTTGTGATAAATATGACCAAAAGCAACTTGGGAAGAAAAGGGTTTGTTTCATCTCAGAGCTTAGACGTCCATCAGTGAGGGAAGTCAGGGCAAGAGCCTGACTGGAATGAAGCAGAGGCCGTGGAAGATTCCTGCTTACTGGCTTGCTCCCAATAGCTTTCCTGCTTTCTGATAGTATCCAGGACCAACCCAGAGGTCCCACAGCAGGCCAGTCGATGGGGGCATTTTCTCAATCAAGGTTCCCTCTTCTGAAAGGACTAGTTTGTGTCAAGTTGACATAAACCTCTGCAGCACACTCAGTTTCTTTGGGGAGTGCAAAGCATCTTTCTTCATGAAAACCATAACATACAGTATTTGCTCACAAAACAAGGGTCTGGTCAAGATGGCTATGAATGTATCTTACATGAGTTGAGTATCTCTGATCTGGATGCCAGTTTTTTGAACTCAACCCCACCCTTTAAGCGAGTCATCTGATTTGATACTTGACACATTTTGTCCGATATTAGGATTTATTATGTGTGTTATTGGAGTCACTCAGGCAAAAATAAGTGGGGGGGATATCTATCTATATATGGTGAAACCTTGTTGTAGGCTACAATAAGCTCTTGGTATACATCATTGAATGTGACAGATAAAACAGAATTAAGAATGGAGTAATTTTCTAATAGCTCAGAATCATGCCCTTGTTTTAACAGTTTCTGTCACTATCCCATCCTCCCCTATGAAAATAATGGAGTATATTGTGAGCCTGTGAGAATTTGCACTTTATGTATTGGTGTGTGGATTTCTGTGGCTTTAATCAAATAAGACATCCTCAGTAATAAACAGGTCTCCATAGGCATGCGTGGCTATGTAATTTTTATTGTCTCAGATACTGTACAGTTGATAAAGTTTGCTGTCCAAATTGATGTTCCTAAAATGTGGGCATAATTTATCCTAGAGTCTGCTTGCACACTAAATTCATATTTTGAACTCTGGTTCTCGATTGGCTCATCTGGAATCCCCAGGGATTGAGAACTTATATTAAAATAATAGCCTGAGGCTGCAGGGGAAACTGGGGTATGGGTGCAAGGGACTGATTACCCTGTTGGGAGGAGATGAAGTTCAACATTAGTGGAGGAGATTTCCCAGTTGTCTTCCCATGTGTGAATGCTTCCCACTGGTGAACAAAGCCCTTTGAATCTGGGGATAGGAGCCCAATTTTAGTCCTAGCATTTCTCTGTACAGTTGGGAAGCCTCTGGACAGCTCAGAGACCCCCTTGACTACACAGTGATGGGGCCAAGGCATCTTACTCTGCTGGTTCCTCCCACTTGTGGTTTGAATGTGAAATGTTCCCCCACGGACTCGTGTGTTTAAACACTTGGCCCTCGACTGGTAGCTCTGTGTGAGTGGCTGTGGAGCCCTTTTCAGGTGGACAGCCTTTGCTGAAGGAGAGGGTCATGGAGAGCAGGCCACTTCAGTTCCATGCACATCTTGACTGCCAGTGGCCATCCTGCCACCATGGCTTCCCCACTGTGATGGAGTATATTCCTTGGAGCTGTAACCCAGCATAAGCCCTTCCTTCCTTAAATTGCTTTTGTTAGGGTACACTCCACCAGGGACCTGAGAATAGCTATTCAAAGTTTGCTCGATGAATCTGAGTCCTCCAGCCAGATGGGGCACCCTCCCTCCTTGTATATAGGAAAGCACTGAGGCAAGTGAGCACTCACAGATCACAGAGGGAACTGGGACTGATGCTCAGATTCTGTGTGTGTGTGTGTGTGTGTGTGTGTGTGTGTGTGTGAAGGTCAAAGGAAGTCATTGGATGTTCACTATCACTCTCTCCCTTGTTCCGTAGAGATGGAGTCTCAATAAACCTAGAGCTTGTGGTTTACAACAACCTTCTCTCCCCACTGCACTACACTAAACAAACCCAAATGATCCTCCTGTCTCCCCATTCCCACCCAGCGCTGCGGTTACAGGCACTCGGTACAGCTTGTTGCATGTGTGCTGTGGATCCAAATTCAGGTCCTCGTACTCGTAGAGCAAGCACTGAACCTCAGCCATCCCTCCAGCCCAACGTTTATTTTTTAACCTAGTAAATCCTGTGTCCCTGGCTACTCTCTGAATTCCTTTTGCAGAAAGGCAAGCTTTTCTGCAGTCTAGTGTTTGCCGACTCCTGTTATTGTTATGAAGTTGTCATATACAGCCAGGGACACCCTTGGGGCACTTGTCATTCTGTCTAGAGAGCTTAGTCAGACTTAGTCTTTAAAATGACTCTCTCCCATCTTCTAAGTCACCACAGGAAATAGGTTTGTCCATTGTTTCAACACTCTATCACAAACTCTTTCTACAGTTTCCCATTTCTCTGCCTCTTGAAATAATTTCCTCATGGTTCTAAACCCCACTGCTTGCCATTTCTCCAATGTCCCCCATCCAAATGCCTTGACTTGTAGGGTTTTGTTAAAGGTATCATTTTGCTTTTAGGCATCAATTTCTGATTCAGTCAACTTCTGAGACTGGATTTCACTGTATAGCCTTGGCTGTTCTGGAAATTGCTCTGTAGACCAGCTGGCCTTGGACTCAGATACGTCTGTCTCTGTGTTCAAGTGCTGATATCAAAGGCCCACGCCACCATCACCCAGCTGATTCAGTCAACTCTTAATAAAATAAGCACCTGAAAACTCTGGTGGCTTAAAATAGCTCTCTTACGGTTGTATGGATAGGCAATTTTAACCAGGGTCAGGTAGGTGGTTCAGGTCCTGGCTAAGCTCCTCTATTTGTCAGGTCAATTTGGCAGTTTAATTTCAGTTCGTTTAGGATGATGCTCTGCCTCACTTGCTCTCATATGGTAGCAGGCTAACCTAGGCCTGTTCAGTGTGCATCTGGGCATGGTCTGAAGATACACCAAATATAGCTTCTAAAGGCCTCTGTTCAGAATTGGTACCTATGCTTTCTGTTGCAACATACTTGCCAAGAAAGTTCATAAGGCCTTCCCAGATACAAGGGATGGGAAATAGACTCCACTTCTTTTTTAAAAGTTAAGGTTTTAATGTGATATAATTGCTAGTATATAAATTTCATATATCACACCTAATTTGGTAAAATTTGTATATTGTGTTTTTGTGTTTGTGATGTGGTATACGTACTTACCAGTGTGTCATGTGCATGACTAGGCATGGATGCTCATTGCATGTCTTTGTGTGTGGAGGTCAGAGATTGACATTGGGTGTCTTTTCTTGGTCACTCTCTGTCTTTCCCAGCTTTATTTTGGAGACAGCATCACTAACTGAACTTGAAAGCTCATCTATTTAGTTAAACTGTCTGGCCAGTGAACTTTAGGGATCCACCTGTCTCTCTCCCCCATCCTCCTGCACCTGGTTTATGTGGGTTCTGGAGTCCAAGCTGATCCTCCTGTACAGCAGGCACCTTACTGACTGATCATTTCCCCAAGCTTGTAAACTGATCTACAGTGAACCCACCCTCGTAATCAAGACAGTGAACAGACTGCCACCCCAGTGTGTTCTGCACCCTCGTGACACTTTTACACGCGCCTTCAAGCGGTCACTGACTTTTCTGGGGCCATTGTAGATTCATTAGCTTCTATAAATGGAACCACGTTTTCTTCATTGTTTCCAATACTCTGTGAAAGCTGCAGGTGTGAACCTCAAGGACTTGGAAGTCTGGCTCTACGAAAAGAAATTAAGTGGGTATGTATTGGCTCCTAAGTCCCACTAGGGGGCAGTGTGAAAATGTCTCTGCCCTCATGAACTACTTTGGGAAAATCCTGTCGACTTTGAACAGAAATGTGCCTTGAGGTTTGTTGGTTGCTGTTCCATATTATGTTTTCATACACTAACTGTTCAGGTTCTAGAGAGAGCTTTATCTGAGCCACCTTCAAGTCCAAAAGACCGAGTTAGCCCTGACAGTACCCACTTCCTCCTGTAGCAGTTCCTCACCTTTGTACCCTAAGATTCAAATCTAATCTAATCAAACCCTAGTCTTTGATCCTAAGAGCTTTCACAAGGGGACTGACTTTCCTGTATTGGCCTCTGGATAGAGATTTTGTTTCCTTTTTTCATGTAGAGAAGAAAGATGTGAGTTGAGGTCAGTTCCCAGAAGGGCTAATCATGAATTAAGGAGCAACCTAAAGAAATGAGGGCTGGAGAGATGGTTCAGCAGTTAAGAGCACTGCCTACTCTTCCAACTAACCTAGGGTCAATTCCCAGCACCCACATGGCAGCTCACAATCACCTGTAACTTCAGTTCCAAGGGATCTGAACCCTCTTCTGGCCTGTATTGGCACTGGGTAGGCATGTGGTGCATGTACACACATGCAGGCAAAATACTCATACACATTAAAATAATATCATCTCTGGGGCCGGAGATGGCACCAGTCACTCAGAGAATCTGATATCAATACCCACTCCCACATCACAGATTACAATCTAGCTCCATTTCCAGAGAATCTATCATCTGGTCTCCAAGGGTATCAGGTGCCTATGTACATACACCCAGGCATGATACCCACACACACAAAATGATTCACCGGAAAGTACATGTCTCTAAGCCTCATAGACTGTGCATGCTCAGGCTTTATTTTCTGGCAGATGAGCCTCTTAATTTCACATTGTTCTCAAGTGCAAAGTGCAATCTATATTTTATGATTTGTAATTTAAATTTGAGGAGATTTATTATTTTTTAATTTTATGTGTATGAATGCTTTGCCTGTGTGTTTGTATGTACGCCAACATGAGTGCTGGTACGCACAGAAGCCAGAAAAGGGCATAGATCCCCTGGAACTGGGGTTGCAGATTGGTTGTGAGCTATCATGTGGGTGCAGGAAATCAAACTGAGGTCTCCTGGAAGAGCTCCAAGTGCTCTCAATGGCTGGGCCTTTCTCCAGCCCCGTGATGATTAATATAGAGTCGCCATGGAAGCAAAACTCATAGATCTGTAAGGGATTACCTAGATTAGGTTAAATGAATCAGGAAGATCCATATTAACTCTGGGTGGTTCCAGGGCTCTAAATAAAAGGAAGAAAATGAGCTGAGCCCTGGTGGATGGCGGCCTCAGAGAAGGTACAGTAGACTGGCCATGACAGACTGTCCCCTGAAACTGTAAGCATCTTTCCTTCTTAAGTTGCTTTTTTTCAGGTATTTTGTTGCACCATTGAAACAGTTAACTAATATCCTTCATGGATTTGTTGTAAGAAAATGGAGCTAAGTATTCTAAAAGGTGTGGCAGAAGACTGGGATAGTGAGCCTTTCACGAGGAGAGAGAGGATGGGACTGTTCTGAACGGCTCTCTCCTGCTCTAGGCTTCCCTTTTGTGTGCCTGCTGATGGCAGTTAGGTGCGACCCTGCCCACCTGAAGCTTGTGCCCTAGTGGCAGCAAATGGCTATTTCTCTCACCCAAATTAGAAATTTTTGATTGTGATAAATTCTTCTAGTGGAAAATACAGGGCATGTTTTGAGTACTGTGGGGACTTTAACTTAGCCTGCAGACAAAATGTTCCTGGGGAGATGACTCAAGGGAGGAAAAGGAGTCAGAAATTGCCCATGCGTCAGCAAAGAGTGTGGCCGGAGCCAGAAATGACAAGACCAAAAGGCAGCACACTGGGAGGGGCCCAAGAGGAGCGCAGGGATGGCTGCTTTTGAAGACACCACTCCCTTTTCCTGCCTTCAGACTAGAAAATCATGACCTTTCCTCACTCCTTTTGTTTCTATCTCAAGTTTTTCTTTCTTTTTTCTAAAAAGCCTAACTGTAGTAACATTTCTTCAAAGCTGAAAGCACTTTTCACTTTTGACCTTCAAAAATAGGAACTGCTTAATAATACAATACAACTCCACAAAGTAAGT